TTTCCTGCTAAGAAGTATTTTAAAGCTTCAGTACAGTAGGAATTCACTACCATCTAGAATGGATGATGTAATGATGGGGACCTCATATAAAAGAGTTCAGACAGCAGTTCCAACATATCCCTAGTAAATATGAACATACATAGGTTTATTGTTGTAACCACAGGTGATAACAATGTTTGAAAAATATGCCAATCTTGGCATTCTAAATTGCCTGGTATGGAAATTGAACTGCTACCTCTTGGATCAAAGCTTCAGAATATGTGCAACACAAACTACACATACTTAGATAAATCTAAATCCAATGATAGGTATGTCCAGCCATGTGCCAGACTAGATTTTTAAGAGCTGCCATATCCACGTCAATCCTACTAGTATCTGTAAGAATGGGCTTCTATACTGTACCATTTTAGCATTATTAAGACTGTTTTTCTACAAGTGGATGCAAAATTTAAATGGTGGTAACATATCCTATGTCTATGCTTAAAATTCTCCTAGTATATATATATATATTTTAAAAAACTAGCCTCATTCTGCATCCGCCCCCCCAAAATATGTAGTTTTAGTTCAATACTTTATTTCTTGTAGCTTTAGTTTCATGTAACTGTTTTTTGTTGATCCAACATTACTGAATTTCCACTGAATGAACCGTTAAATAGTTTGCTTCTATTTCCTGAAAATGACAGTTTTAATTGCTAATAGTTTTCTGCCTTCTTCTTCTTTTTTTGGTTTTTAAATTCTGAAACAGTGCTATTTCTCAAAGAAAACCATTACTGGAAGGAAATTAGTCCTTACAACCTACCCACGCCCAAGAACTGATTGACTGAAGGACAATCAGGGAACAGTTGATTAGAAATTCCAGAGCTACATTGAAAAGGCAGCAATGCAAGGCCAAGGTCACAAGGAGGAAGCTTCTTGTTAAAGGCACAATGGCCCTCTTGAGAAACTTCACGAACAATTACCATAGCTAAGCACTGCTTAGGGTTAACCAAAAGTAATCAAATAAATAAAATATCCATTAAAGAAACCCAGAAGCCTCAGTCTACATTCATTAATCAAGCTATCCAAATTATACATACAACAAATACTTAAAATAGACATGCATAAATTATTCTTGTTTGAGGATTAGTTTAAAAATAATAATTCTTTGGGTTTTGCCAACCCATTCCTGCATCTAGCTCACCTTTGGTAAATAATGAAAGAGTGGTCCAATCCAGATTAACACAATCAGGACAATGGCACTGGTGAAGAGTCCAGAAAGCTGTGGATAAGGAAGGCTGGTTAAGTCAGACAGTCTTAAGAAAGACAGTAGGTTTCTTGGGAACCAAGTACAAAAAAACAAGTTTTTTTTTGTATTCATACAGTACCCAAGAGGTAGTGGCAGCCAACAGATAAACAAATCTATATTCGCCGTAATGTTAATATAAGGCAATCCTTTGGCTCCCCAGCTAGCATACTACCAGTACCATCTCCAGAAAGCATGGGACAGCTTTCTCCCTCTAACACTGGCAGAAAAGCACTTTGGATAGGAAAAGCTAGTTAAAATTCTTTCTCTTCCCCAATTGCTGATATCATTTTTTTCCCATATGAGAAACCTCAACATTAGGTAGGAGGAGGAAGTGGTAAGGTATAGACTAGGCCAAAGTCATGAAGGAAGAAGCCACAGACCCAAGGCTAAGGATCTAAATTTCTAAACTCTCCTTGATCTCCCTCATGTCCTTGGTCCAGAGAAATTTATAGAGCAGTCCAAACCAATGTAAATAATTTTTTGTTTTAATTTTTTTAAAAAATAAACACAGGAGGGTGTTGTTCTTGTCTTGCCCTCATTTCTATCTTTTATTCCTAAAGGATTTGTCAGCCTCTAAATTACAGAACTCTAGCTAAATTAGGATTGTTATCCAGCTTAATCTCGAATACAGGATTATTTACTTTGAAATCATGTATCCATACACGTACAGTTCTGCACTCCCTAAATGTATATCTTGCTGATCAAGTACCAAAGCCGAGAGATTCACACTTCACCTTCATACAGAGGCTCTGTACAGCTTCATCAGAGACAGGTGCTTCCCCCCCGCCCAGCGTGGAAATGAGGCAATAGTGAAAGGAACTGGTGCCTCTCACTGAAAGCTGGAGTGCATAAACCCAATCAATAATCAGGTTTGCTATTTATAATTAGAAAAGGCTTGTATCTGAAACTTCATCTCCAAGTTAATGAATCATTTTGGTGCTAGTTTTGAAGATAGAGAAGCTCTGGCAGGAAAAAAAAGTTGGCCAGCCACTGTTACTACCTCATCCACATCCACATCCACAACAAAACCAAACATCTTTTATGCTTTTGCAAACATACTCAGTGCTTTGAACTTTTTTTTAATATCTCAAACAATCTGCTGTTTGTATCTGGTATATTTAAGCAACAAAAAGAAATGTGCCAAATAAGGCATTCTTCACGTACCTGTGTATGTCCACCAGCACTCTCCAAAATGTTAGTTGTAGCCAGAGTGGCTGAATTGGGGAAACAGGTGAACAGGGAAGAGACTAGGTTTGAAACACCATGAGCCAGAAGTTCCTATGGAATAACAGAGAAGAAGAGCCGGTTGGTCTCTGGTTGTTCTATGGCACAAATAGAGCCCAGTTTTAATTGGATTTATTATCTAATCTCCCTCTTTCCAAAGAATTCTGTAAAAACTGGAAATTCACAAGGATCATAGTAAGAATCTCAGAGAATTATAGTTTCCAGTGTTCCTCAACTGGAAAAGCTATTTAGGGGTTATAACCTGGGTTGGCTTTTATTGTCCTGGATTGACTATTGTGAGATTTGGCTTTGAAATGTCTGCTCTAATGCTTAGCCAAAGTCTGTTAAAGTGAATGTGAACAAAAATGCACCTTAGGGAAAACTTTCCAACTTGAGGAACATTTAATATGCTGCATGGAAAACCCCACCATCTTCAGTAATGAAGGTGGCGGAAACATCCATGGCTTTGCCTTCAACATGATCTCAAGCATGGCTGAAAAAAAAATGAGTAGTGCAGAACTCTACAACAATGTTCAGCTCTGAACTTCAAATTCTGAAAAGAAAGCTTCCATTTGCAGAGCAAGAGCACAATTTAAAAAGGTTACGAATGGGAGTGTTGGCCTCACATTGGCTTTGTGAGATATTTTTCAACTGCTTGAAGTGCAGTGAAAAAGAATCAAGAATTGTGTAGCTCCTATTCTGTCTGTCACTGATATCAATCTGAAACTTCAAGTCAGAATCAAAAGCCAATTCAAGGTAGCTGTCAAGTTATATGTCAAGGAAGAAGGACTCTGGGAAAACCAGATCCTTCAGGATACAAGGAGTTAAAACAGGTTGACAAGCATAAGGGGATGGGCTGCTAGGCAAACTCCTTGACTGGAAGGAGGAGGAGACCCAGGCTCCCAGGATAGGCACAGACCTGGTTGGGGTCAATGACATAGTGGTACTTCTCAGCGTAGATCATGGCCAGCGACACTGAGATGGCGTAGGCCACGAAAGCGAGGGCCACCGTGTCACCCAACACTTGGGGCAGCAGATGCAGAGCTGGGAGCTGGGGCTGTGGGAACCTGCATGAAAGAATGGTGGAATGGGAATCACTGTGTGCTGGGAAAGAGATCATTCATTGCCCTTCCCCATCATCCATCTCCAGGGCCAAACTGACCACCATGTGGTCCAATCCAGAGCATCAGGCTAAGACAGTAAGTTGCATTTCTGATGCCATGCCAATAGAATGGCAATGCCCTTGTCTTTAGCCAATGTGCAAAAGGGGGGGGGGGAATGGAGATAGGAAAGGATCTTACCCTGCTGGGAGGTGTCCAACAATCTGTACATTATAGTGGGTATTCAGAGAGGAAGCAAAGCAGATTCCTGTGGCAAGCAGTACCTATCCCAAGAATTCAAATAAATAAGATAATTAAAAGAAATGTTACTTACAATATCTTTATAAAGAAAAATCAACACCACCATTATCTTTGAAAAAAATTGATTGCAGCTATTAATATCTGGAGATCTGAAAAATCAAGTCTCTCCAAGTATATTGATCTATCTCTCAAATATATTTTGCTGCAAGACTGCAGCCTGAATTTATTAAGTGTGATAGGGATGAATACTGAACTTACTTAAGGATTTTTTTTCTATGTCAGTTAGAGCTGGCATATATGTCTTTAAAAAGAAGATCAAGTATTACATAACTTGTGTTTCTGTTGGGCAAGTGCTGCACAATGTTGCCACAAAATGGCGGCGCTGGCAGTATGTCCAACTGAGTCCTCGAAGCTGGTGATGGCGGCCTTGTATCAAGGATGGAGTAGGCAAAATGGCACCATCCCTTCCCACTGTGATAAAGCCAGTCAAAAGTACAACTGTAGAAAACCCACAGTTGACAGAAGCAGTAGAAAATCTTTAATGTGCTCAGTGGTGGCAGAACCTAGATATCTTTCCTGGTTTCAATCAATTCTCCATGCAGCACACTCCTAGCATATATTTTTTTTCAAACCAGTGCAAGTCCTCTTTTTTAAGCACAAATTCAGTACTTTTTCAGAAATATGCTAAACTTTATTTGTAAGGTGTCTATAGAGGACCTGACAAATGCAGCAGAAAGCACGAGTCAAGGCAGGTACTTTTGCAGAAGCCAGGTGTTCAGTCTCTCCTGCAGCCCAAGACAAAATGGCGATGAGGGACAGTTTCCAGTGACTGGAGGATCTGTCCACAACAAGAGAGGCTAGCTATTAATAGCTTCCGATCCCTGATTAAGGTATCAACTAGATTGCGAATGAAGCACGCTAGAGTGTGTCAATGGCAAACTGAGTCAGAAGAAGAGGGAAAACACCCCTTTAAAACTGGCATAACTAACAAAACGGCTTTAAACTCCTTCCATAGCAATAGCACTTTGACTTATATACCACTTCACAGTGCTTTACAGATCTCTCTAAGCAGTTTTTACAGAGTCAGCCTATTGCCCCCCAACAATCTGGGTCCTCATTTTACCAATCTCGGAAGGATGGAAGGCTGAGTCAACCTTCAGCGGTGACGATCGAAGGTCCGGCTGTAGGCAGAATTAGCCTGCAATACTGCATTCTAACCTCTGCACCACCACGGCTCTTCGAGGCCACATTTGTGTCATGGTTAGATGGATATGAGGATGAACCCAAATATATTTCAATAGCTATTTGTTTGCTTCTCTATTTTTTTAAATGATGTGTTCAATACAAAGGAATGCTTAACATCATTTCTAGTTTAGTCTTAAATAGAGCACTCGGGTTTTTCTTGTCAAACCCACTATTGGAACAATGATCTACCTACCTGCTCTTCCTCTGTTCTTTCAATCATTTTTTTGGCCTCTATTGTGTGTGTGTGTGTATGGAAGGGTGTGTGTGTAATGTATATTTATAACCTAAATATACTGATAACCTCAAGAAACAGAAAAAGGAAGCAATGAACCCTGTGTACATCATTTGTTAAGTTAAGGAATGAGTTTCCCCAACTTATGGCCATCAGTGGCTGTATTTGATAGAGTAAAGGCTCAGTACTTGCCATGATGATCTCTCCTGGGATGGGGACCCACATCCGGCTACGGTAACGGTGGTTGATTTCTTTGATTGGTACCAGCACAGCTAAGCAGAGCCCAGAGATAAGCAGTTCTGCCATGTTGGTTAAGGGCAACGCTTCCACAACAGATGCCAGTGTCTGGGGAATAACACAGGGATGTTCCCATTTAATAAACAGAATTTAACATATGCTTATTGAGCAGCCAGGGAAGACAAGGCATCAACTAAATTTACTAGCAGCAGTCACTAAGGGCCCTGATAGGCTGGTTCAGCAGAGCTGGGGATCCATTGAATTTTGCCTAAAGTAACCTGGGGAGGGAAGAAAAGACAAAGTATGGCTATGCTGTAAGAAAACATACTGACAAGAAATGCAATGTGAAACTTGAGGAAAGTATAGGAGAGCTGTTTAGTTGAAAGATTACCCAGTCCTGAGACACAAGAAATCATGAGAAAGAATCTCAACATTCCCTATCTTGATTTTGTTTTGTATTAAGTTGGGACAGGCAGAAGCTTCAGTAGGCTTTCAAGATTCTGTTATTTTTCATACTACAATAAAGAACATTTCTGCAATCCCTGCAGTGCCAAGTTCTTAAATGGCCTACTTAAAAGGGTAGACTCATAGTAGCTTAGAGAAGCAAACATCTTCGGTATATTAGAACAGGGTTAGATGGGTTAAGGATGAGAAGCATCTTCTCTCTTCATAAATGGCCCCAGAATGTGTATCCCCCCATACCTTGAAAATGGCAAAGTAGCCATTGGGCGCACCATTCCTATAAGGGTCCTCCGAGACATCGACTCTTTGATGGTGCACGTTCCGTCGCCGTGATCATTTCCGGAACTGGTGACCAAGGCTCTCCATCCACCTTTCCTTCGGGTTCACTTCGTATTTGTAGTACTGGACCCCAATTCCTTTCTCTACGGTCTCAATCAATACACTTCAAAGGACTTTTTTTCTAAGTGTGTTTTTGGTTTTACTTCTTCCACAGGTAGAGAAAGCCATGCAACATGGAGCTGTTGTTAAGTTTGCTTCTTTCTAGGTAAAATTAGAAAATTTCTCTTCTGTTTTTATTTTCAGGTTTATAAATATGTTGTAAGAACCTGTCGAAAGAAAAATCTTTATCAGGATCCAGTCCAAGCCAGGAATAGACAAAATGGAGACAGCTTTAGAAAGAAGGTTGCAGTTTATTGAAGAGCAGAACCAGACAGAAGGGTGACTCTGGGAAAACTGAACATATGTAGTATGGAGTGGTGGGTTTTTATACCTTCTTCAGCTTTTGTTTGGAGTTGTTCTTGTGGCATGAACTTTAATCTGAGTCTGAGTGTGCCTTTCTGGTATTCTGATGGTGGTGGGTTAATCCTATTATGTCCCAAAGGTCATATCCTACTTCCCTGGGGATGTGGCTGATGACTATGTCCTGTGTTGGATTTTTTAGTGTGAGGGATTGTTGATTCTAGGGATCTTTGTCTTTCCAATGCCATCAGCTCCAAGCTTCCTGGCTCCAATCTTTCTGACAAGATTATCACATCTGCATTTCTGCAGACCTGGTTTCTGTTTGGGGCAGAGAGACTTGGGGGGGGGGTTCTGCCTTTAAGATCCTTTGGGGAAATATAATATTCTGCCTTTTAATATTCCCAAAAATATTTCTTTCTCTGGGGGTGGGGCTGACTTCCCACAAACCTTAAAACTTCCTTCAGTTATCTCAAGTATCATTGTTTTAATGAAGCAACTTTCTTATTTTTATGCTTATGTGAACATAAGCTTGAAATGTATGGATTAGGTCTAACGATTTTTTCCCTTTTCCTTTTATAAAGGACACTGCCCAGAAGCAACTTTGGGACCAAACAAAGCATATATAAATATACATATACAGTATGTTTGTGTGCCACATTGCTGAACTGAATGTTCTGTACAGTAACCTTAAATGAACTTTAGAGATTACTTGACCTCACTGTTATCACACTCAGAATGCTACAAAGCAGATAACTAGGAAAATTGCACAGCGGTTTTTTAAAAATAAAATATTTTAAAATATTTTATTAGTGCTGGTTTGCTAGTTAAACTCAAGAAAAATTTAAACAACAGCAATAAAACTGCGATTACCATAAAAAATTACAAAAGTCAACTTCAACATTTTCAAATATCATCAAACAATACATGAAACATGTCAAATTACATTTATCTTGCTTCACAACAATTCCTTATTAATAATGCGTAATTGCTTGTTGAAAATCTTATATTTGAGAAGCCACATATATATAAAAGATTAGACAATGAAACAGCTATTCATTAAGGGAACAAAACTAAATGCCCAAGTTCAGAAGGAACATCTTTCTAATTTGTCAATCCCACATTTTCACAGCACGATAACCCAATCACTTGTTTGTGTCACGCAAGTAGTGGTGGGATTCAAAGTGGTTCGCACCACTTTGGCAGAACCGGTAGTTAATTTTTTGTTGCCCAGGCCCAGAATGGACTTCCGGAAGCGACATCCACACAGAGAACCGGTTGCTCACATATTTGAATCCCACCACTGCATGCAAGGCCTCCCCAGTGTACCCATCTGCATAAGCCCGATAGAATTATAGCATCCCCCTGAACTCACCATGAGGAGCCCCATGAGAAAGGCCATGGCGGCAGCTACCTCAATGCGTTGTCTCTCCAATACGGCGACTTCAGCAGGACCTGTGCCATTGGCCTGCTGGGGGATGGGAACCAGGCGCTCCACCACGGAGCCTGTCATCAGACTGACCACAGCAAATGTGCCTGTGGAGTGGGAAGAGGTTGAGGTAGGAAGGCAAGGTTTTAATCTCCATGGTTAAACACCACCCAATTCCAACTGCCAGGGCAAGGAATTAGGGACTTATGGAAACTGGAATCCACAACAGGTGAAGGATGACAAATTTCCTCTCCCTGCTCTGTTATGTAACACTCCTTCCAGTGGTGGGATTCAGCCAGTTCACACCACTTCAGCAGAACCGGTAGCTAATTTTTTGTTGCCCAGGCCTAGAATGGACTTCCGGAAACGGCATCCACACAGAGAACGGTTGTTCACATATTTGAATCCCACTAATGATCTCCTTGGCACATTGCAGGACCAAGAACAATAGAAGTTACCCTTGGTTTGAACAATACACTGGGCCTTGCAGAAAAGCTGATATATATGAATAATATCCAAAAGGAATTCTGGATAATTCACAGTAGTAATTAAAAGACACTCCTGTTTTCCCCCTTCCTTATTTCTGAAATAGGAAACTATAAGAAGCAATTATGAGAACTGATCTGTATTTCTCATAATATTCTTTGAATAAATTAAGGAAATGGACACTAAAAACTCAATACTTTTGCAGTAAGCAATGCAGGATTTGACCTAAGCATCCACCATAACTCAACACTCAGTCCAGTGCATCAGAAGCTTTTCACATTTCAAGTTCACATGGAGCATGAATAAGATTATACCGTACTTAGCCTAAGCATACTTAATATGATGTTATGAGTGTAAGTCTGCAAAAGAAGATTACATCAAGAAGCCCCCCTAAAGAGTATTACCCCAACCAGAAGCCATAGACAATCACTGAATCCTGACAGATAGGTCTTCTAGGAGAAAGTGCATCCCTAAGACTCATGTAAGATGAACTCCCTATTTATTCAAATGCTGTTAGCCAGAAGCATGCATGTGCAAGCAATGTGATTTATTGTGGTGCCCATGAAATATCTGTGGCCTGGGAAAAACCATTTCATAGTAGTAATGTAGCTTCAGAAGCAGCATCTTGGTGCCTTGTACTTGAAATGGGAGCATGAAATAAATACATTCTCTCTCTCTGTCTCTCTCTGTCTCTCTATCTCTGTCTCTGTCTCTCCCCACCACACACACACATACATACACACACAGAGAGAGAGAGAGAGAGAGAGAGAGCGCAATGTATTCTCTTACTTTCTGGAACACAAGGAAGGAACCTGTGTTCAGATGCAGATCCCAGAAGACAGGACTAGGCACAGTTATTGGCTGGCATGTGAACCTGTTTCACTTGCCTATTTCCATTCTAGAAGGTCTATGGATGTCCAGAAACATTAACATAGACATGTTAATGCCTATCATGTCTGGATGCCTGAATAGATTTGTAAACAATCAAAGCATTCCAGATCAATTTGGGGAAAGCAGTTTAAACAGGATTGCAAAGAGTTAGGAGACAGAAAGCTGGTCATCTGGAAGTGACATGGGTCTTGCAGTACTCCTACCTGTAGACACATGACGCCCTGTCCCAAAAAGCATATACAGCAAGGCTGGGAAGAATGAAGTGTAGAGCCCATAGATTGGAGCTACTGAAGTGAGCAGAGCAAAGGCCATTCCTGCAGGAAGAACAAACAGAAAGAGTCATAATCTAAAGCCAAGAACAAACTATTAAATGGGGCAGAAATGTTGATTTCCAAGAACATAAACCCCAAGTTGTAGGGCTTGGTTGCCCTGCCAAAGCACTGCTAACATTGCCAGTTCCTTTGAGGCAAGAGTAGAGGCAGAGGGCCTTAGCTCTATCGTCTGCCCTTCCTATTGTAACTTGGTAGAATAGAGAGGGCGACAGCNGCGTGGTAAGGATATTCCCAGGAGGCTCTGTAGCTGAGAAACTACCACGTGCAAGGCAGCGGCACTAGTAAAGGCCTTGACCACTGGTTCCGAGAGGTAGGTGGAAAGGAAGCCCAAGTGAAGCATAAACATCATGACCTGGGGTTAAGGAAAGAGATGCCAGAGTTAGTTATGTGAAGTTTCCTGAAAAAAAGATTCAATGTTTTTGGTTTTACTTCTTCCACAGGTAGAGAAAGCCATGCAACATGGAGCTGTTGTTAAGTTTGCTTCTTTCTAGGCAAAATTAGAAAATTTCTCTTCTGTTTTTATTTTCAGGTTTATAAATACGTTGTAAGAACCTGTCGAAAGAAAAATCTTCATCAGGATCCAGTCCAAGCCAGGAATAGACAAAATGGAGACTGCTTTAGAAAGAAGGTTGCAGTTTATTGAAGAGCAGAGCCAGACAGAAGGGTGACTCTGGGAAAACTGACCATATGTAGTATGGAGTGGTGGGTTTTTATACCTTCTTCAGCTTTTGTTTGGAGTTGTTCTTGTGGCATGAACTTTAATCTGAGTGAGTGTGCCTTTCTGGTATTCTGATGGTGGTGGGTTAATCCTATTATGTCCCAAAGGTCATATCCTACTTCCCTGGGGGTGTGGCTGATGACTATGTCCTGTGTTGGATTTTTTAGTGTGAGGGATTGTTGATTCTAGGGATCTTTGTCTTTCCAATGCCATCAGCTCCAAGCTTCCTGGCTCCAAACTTTCTGACAAGATTATCACATCTGCATTTCTGCAGACCTGGTTTCTGTTTGGGGCAGAGAGACTTGGGGGGGGGAGGGGTTTCTGCCTTTAAGATCCTTTGGGGAAATATAATCTGCCTTTTAATATTCCCAAAAATATTTCTTTCTCTGGGGGTGGGGCTGACTTCCCACAAACCTTAAAACTTCCTTCAGTTATCTCAAGTATCATTGTTTTAATGAAGCAACTTTCTTATTTTTATGCTTATGTGAACATAAGCTTGAAATGTATGGATTAGGTCTAACGATTTTTTTCCCTTTTCCTTTTATAAAGGACACTGCCCAGAAGCAACTTTGGGACCAAACAAAGCATATATAAATATACATATACAGTATGTTTGTGTGCCACATTGCTGAACTGAATGTTCTGTACAGTAACCTTAAATGAACTTTAGAGATTACTTGACCTCACTGTTATCACACTCAGAATGCTACAAAGCAGATAACTAGGAAAATTGCACAGCGGTTTTTTAAAAATAAAATATTTTAAAATATTTTATTAGTGCTGGTTTGCTAGTTAAACTCAAGAAAAATTTAAACAATAGCAATAAAACTGTGATTACCATAAAAAAAATTACAAAAGTCAACTTCAACATTTTCAAATATTATCAAACAATATATGAAACATGTCAAATTACATTTATATTGCTTCACAACAATTCCTTATTAATAATGCGTAATTGCTTGTTGAAAATCTTATATTTGAGAAGCCACATATATATAAAAGATTAGACAATGAAACAGCTATTCATTAAGCGAACAAAAGTAAATGCTCAAGTTCAGAAGGAACATCTTTCTAATTTGTCAATCCCACATTTTCACAGCACGATAACCCAATCACTTGTTTGTGTCACGCAAGCAGTGGTGGGATTCAGCCGGTTCGCACCACTTCGGCAGAACCGGTAACTAATCTTTTGTTGCCCAGGCCCAGAATGGACTTCCGGAAGCGGCATCCACACAGAGAACCGGTTGCTCACATATTTGAATCCCACCACTGCATGCAAGGCCTCCCCAGTGTACCCATCTGCATAAGCCCGATAGAATTATAGCATCCCGCTGAACTCACCATGAGGAGCCCCATGAGAAAGGCCATGGCGGCAGCTACCTCAATGCGTTGTCTCTCCAATACGGCGACTTCAGCAGGACCTGTGCCATTGGCCTGCTGGGGGATGGGAACCAGGCGCTCCACCACGGAGCCTGTCATCAGACTGACCACAGCAAATGTGCCTGTGGAGTGGGAAGAGGTTGAGGTAGGAAGGCAAGGTTTTAATCTCCATGGTTAAACACCACCCAATTCCAACTGCCAGGGCAAGGAATTAGGGACTTATGGAAACTGGAATCCAAAACAGGTGAAGGATGACAAATTTCCTCTCCCTGCTCTGTTATGTAACACTCATTCCAGTGGTGGGATTCAGCCAGTTCACACCACTTTGGCAGAACCGGTAGCTAATTTTTTGTTGCCCAGGCCTAGAATGGACTTCTAGAAACGGCATCCACACAGAGAACGGTTGTTCACATATTTGAATCCCACTAATGATCTCCTTGGCACATTGCAGGACCAAGAACAATAGAAGTTACCCTTGGTTTGAACAATACACTGGGCCTTGCAGAAAAGCTGATATATATGAATAATATCCAAAAGGAATTCTGGATAATTCACAGTAGTAATTAAAAGACACTCCTGTTTTCCCCCTCCTTATTTCTAAAATAGGAAACTATAAGAAGCAATTATGAGAACTGATCTGTATTTCTCATAATATTCTTTGAACAAATTAAGGAAATGGACACTAAAAACTCAATACTTTTGCAGTAAGCAATGCAGGATTTGACCTGAGCATCCACCATAACTCAACACTCAGTCCAGTGCATCAGAAGCTTTTCACATTTCAAGTTCACATGGAGCATGAATAAGATTATACCGTACTTAGCCTAAGCATACTTAATATGATGTTATGAGTGTAAGTCTGCAAAAGAAGATTACATCAAGAAGCCCCCCTAAAGAGTATTACCCCAACCAGAAGCCACAGACAGTCACTGAATCCTGACAGATAGGTCTTCTAGGAGAAAGTGCATCCCTAAGACTCATGTAAGATGAACTCCCTATTTATTCAAATGCTGTTAGCCAGAAGCATGCATGTGCAAGCAATGTGATTTATTGTGGTGCCCATGAAATATCTGTGGCCTGGGAAAAACCATTTCATAGTAGTAATGTAGCTTCAGAAGCAGCATCTTGGTGCCTTGTACTTGAAATGGGAGCATGAAATAAATACATTCTCTCTCTCTGTCTCTCTCTGTCTCTCTATCTCTGTCTCTGTCTCTCCCCCCCCCCCACACACACAAACATACATACACAGAGAGAGAGAGAGAGAGAGCGCAATGTATTCTCTTACTTTCTGGAACACAAGGAAGGAACCTGTGTTCAGATGCAGATCCCAGAAGACAGGACTAGGCACAGTTATTAGCTGGCATATGAACCTGTTTCACTTGCCTATTTCCATTCTAGAAGGTCTATGGATGTCCAGAAACATTAACATAGACATGTTAATGCCTATCGTGTCTGGATTATTATTATTATTATTATTACTTTAATTTATACCCCGCCCTTCTCCCGAGGGACTCAGGGCGGCTTACAGGTAAGTAAAAACAGAGCTATACAATAAATATCTAAAAGCCAAATTAAAATATATATTAAATAACCTGTATTAGAAAAATTATAAAATCCCTTTAAAATCCCTATAAAATCCCCCCCTAGGCCAATCCNGCCTAGGGAGAATTTTAAATAGGGACAATTTTAATTAGAATTTTAATGGTAACACAGCGGTAAATATTTGTTTTTAATTGGTTTTTATTGGGGATAGTGTTTGTATCGTTTTAATATGCTGTAAGCCGCCCTGAGTCCTGTTGGGAGAAGGGCGGCATATAAGTTTAATAAAATAAATAAATAAAATAAATAAATAACCCACAAATATTTAGATTCAGTAGCGTGGCTTCTGATAATAGAGAAACATTTCTAGGCTTTCCATTCCTGACATTCAGAAAACAAATATCACCCCATTGCACTTCTTGAAAAAAAAATTACTTAGCTGAAGAGTAAACCTTTGAGACCATAAGGTTACTTTCCAAGTTTCATAGATATAAATGAAATTATTCCATAACCGCCTCAAATGCTTCCCACTGACCCAATGCAGGGAGTCTGAATACAACTTTCTATATGGTCTGTTCAAAGCTTAAGTGGGAAAGCTTGGGGAGGCACTCATTATTCTGCTTTAATTATTATATTGCTTCCATTCTAGTCAGAGACCAGAAGAATTGGACTCTAGTCTCTGGAAGTTTAAATGATCATGAATCCTTATATCTTGAAAGTGTTGAAAGCTTTGCATTGCTTCATGTAAGCAGCCCCCAGTCTCTGGAAACAGAAATGCAGGATTTTGAATGTGGCATTTTAATAGGGAAATACCGTAGCTTCTCTCTCACACTGCTCAAGGTTTGTTCAAAGCACCTCCAATCTTCATTGATGGGATCTATGGATGACTGGCAAACGCCTCCTTCTTTCTCTCTGTCAACAGTTAGAGGACGACACGCAACAGCAGTCCTGGCTGGGGGACTTGGCAGTGTACACGGCTTTAACGCCAGCTCAGCTGCCTTGCCAAAGGCTGGGCTGCCAAGGGACAAACGGGAGGGCAAGCAAGGCACGAGTCCAGTCCAGAGTAGAAAAACACCTAGGCACTGGGTCTCCTTGTTTTACTTTGCTTTTATCTCTTGCACCGGATAGCTGCAATCTCTCAACTCTTGCCAGAGACAGAAAGATAACCTAGAGAACAATCTTTGGAGCAAGACTGACTACCCACCCAGTCTGCAATTTCTTAGACAACTGGGACCCGTAAGGCATCCTCCCTAAGTGTTCAGAGAAAGGCAGCCATCCGAAACTAGACAACAATTATAAGGGGTGCAAAAAGAAGCTACATATCAAAAGAAAATCCTAAAAGAGGAAGAAGCAAAGAGAGGTGAAAGGAGAGAGGCGACTAGAAGAATAGCAGAGATCTGAATTACAAGGATGACAGATGGATTTGGGACTCTGTGCATGGAATCAGGGAATAAGGGAAGGCAGGCAGACACAGCTATCAAAAATCCAAGTAGAAAGGAGAATGGAGACCAGAGCTTAAGAAGAACAGAGGAGTAGTTTGGAAGCACAAGAAAGTGAAAACCCTCCTGCCCCAAAGAAGTGGAGCAGCTCTCAGAATCTGCAGGTGGGGGAGAGGGAGAATGAGAGAAAGATTCCCCCCCCCAAAATGGAGGTCAGAAATAGGACATCCCTGTCAGGCTTGTTAGGAAAAAACAGAAATAAAATATTTGAGACTGATTTTGGAACAACAAAAATGTATAGAGGAAGAGAGAGAAAGGGAGATCAATAGAGGGAGTATGGAGTATGGAGTAGAAATGAGTCAAAGTCAAGGATATTGTTTGCCCATCCCCAAATTTGCCAGTTTTGCTGCAAAGTTCAATAGATCTTTCCAAAAGGAAAGAATTGCTGCTCCTGTTCAGGCTGCAAAATTCTTGGGCACATGACTACAAGCTCCCAAGTTAAGGTCTTTTGTTCACCTTCTGTTGCATGACCCTGCAATGAATTGCACCCCTGCACACCCACAGACAACACCCACATACAAACTCACCTTGAGGGATGTGTATGACGCCCACGGTTAACCCCGCCACCAAGTCCCCCAAAAGCCACTTCTTTGGCTGGTACTTGGGCAGCCAACTTGCAATAGGCATCCTTCTTCTAAATAAGTGCAAGGCTGCCGCTTTGGAGCAGTGGCAGCAGCGGCTCAGCCTGCCTTTCACCATCCTTGCTAGGCTGCTCTCCTGCTCCAGGGGCACCCCATAGACTTGTTGGAAGTCCTCTTGGGTGTAGATGCCGCGGTACAAGGCCAAGGTGCTCATGCTGAGGGTGGCAGGCCGGCTGACAAGATGCTCCCTCTTACCTTTTATTCTGGGCTAGACTTGACTTTCTTAACCAATCAAAGACTTGAGGAGCCAGGATTCTCCTCCCTCTGTTTTGGGCAGGAAGGAGGAGGAAGCAAAGGGGCCAAAGGTCAGTCGCCGGCCACCAGGGCTCCTGCTGCTCTCTGAATCAGCACTCCAGACACTTTCGCCAGCGTCCCTGCACTGGAACAATACCTTTCCTTTCTCCCTGCTTGTCCTTGCACTTTCAGTTCAAGCGCCTGTTGTTTCAAAGCAACTGGATTGCTTTGTTCCTCTGCCTTAGCATCAGGGCAGGGGAATTCTAACTGAATGTTCCTCATGGCTACTTAACTTCCAGCAAATTTTCAGAAAGTTTAATATCCACATGGGGGTATCCCTGAGAACCGGCTTCAAGCTTCCCTTGATAAAAAAATAAAAATAAAAAATGCAGCAACTTGCCTGCTCAGCGGTGCATAATTCAGAGAGCTTGTTTTTCCCATGTCGCTTGTCAACTCTTTTCTGAACACAATGTAAGGTGTTGGTTTAATTTCCGAACACAATGTAAGGGTTGATTTAAAGCCCTAAACAACATAGGACCTAATTCCCTGAGAGACTCTGTATCTTGATGTGAATTTGCCTGCACATTAAGGCCACCTAAAAATATACATTCTTCTTGTTTGGGATCCATTTGGAGGGGCGCATAGGAGAGGGTCTTCTCCTGTGTGGCTCCTAAAGCAGAAAATGTGCTCCCTTGAAAGCCAGACCCGTTCCACTTTTGGGGTCTTTTTCGCTTCAGCCAGCTCTTTTCAGCTTGGGATAGCTTTAACTGTGACTGTAATAGTTTTATCTCTTTGTGCTGTATAATTAGCCCCCTGAAAGTCAGAACATAAGCTGATATAATCAACTTGCTGCACATGTCACATTTGCCAGTTAACCACAGACAGCTGCTTGGTAATCTCATTAATCAAGGCATCTGTATAATGCAGTGGTGGCGAACCTATGGCATGTGTGCCAGAGGCGGCACTCAGAGCCTTCTCTGTTGGCACGCGTGCCACTGCCGCCAGCAGCAGGTCCATCAGGCTGCCACCGCTGCCCGGAGCAGGAGCCCCACCCAGCACAAAGGAGGCAAAGCAGCCGACTAGCAAGCCCGAGTAGAGGTGGTAGAGCAGAGGTCACTAACCATTGTCAATTGGTGGACTGGAAGAAAAGGGAAGGGGAAGTATTTTACTTGCGTGCATGCATGCACGGGGCCGCGAGCACGTACATGCTGCAAATGGGACGGGGCTAGTGCCTGCGTGATACTCACTAGCCCTGCCCTGTTCTTGCATGGTGCAGTGCCTTGTATCTGCACCCTGCAGCACGGCGGCGGCTGTTTTTGCACCTTGCAGCACAGTGGCCCATTTTGCACCCCTGGTTTTTGCATGCCAGAGGCGGCACTCAGAGGCGCCTCCCTGACCCCCCTTAAGGGCACCACAATGCTGATGCTGATCCCTGGCACTTTGCGATAAATAAGTGGGTTTTGGGTTGCGGTTTGGGCACTCGGTCTCTAAAAGGTTCGCCATCACTGGTATAATGGATTACTGTCCAATATTGCAGCTCCAACATACAATTCCTTCCTCGCAAAAAGGTGGACACCCTCGGTGTGGATAAAATAATATTTTAATAGGAACTGAAAAGTAAACTAGATCAAAGAATCTGTGTTCTGGTCTTCTTGGCCTGTTTTAGTAGCAAAGAGGTCCAATTTGAATCCAAGCTTTGGCATAAAGACAAAGGGCAAAACACTTTATCCTCATATATGAACAATTCCAAATCTCTGCTCAAGGATGCTCTTAGCCACGAGGACAAGCTAGGAACTGTACTGAATCTAATTTCCCTTCCTTGTCCCAGGACTATGAAGAATTTGTGGGGAGATAAAACCAGATCAATATCACATGGAAAAAGAGAGAATTCCTCCTCTCCCAATATCAAGACCCTGACCTAAATCAGAGGCCCGCAGATATACCTAACCATAATTAAAAAGAAAAGCAGGTCAGGATCTCTCATGTTATTTTAAATTAGGTTCAGAGAGAAAAATGTGTGGAAGATGAATGAAAATGATTTGTTCTGAAAAGATTAGAACTCAGGCATCTTGATTAGCAATATTTTAATTGTGGCTCTGATTTGTGTCTTGGCCTCTCTTTAAAAGAGTATCTGTCTCTCTGGTTCTATCTTCACTATCTCTGTGCAGGTGGAGACTTGCCCAAGGACACCCAACAACTTTATGACCAAGCAAGATTTCAACCAAAGTTACTTCCTGTCCAAATCCATCCCTACTTCATGAATGTACCACAATAACTCAGCAGTTTGGAGTAGTGATTAAGGCATCAGTCTAAAAACCAGAAGACTGTGAGTTCTAGTCCTGTTTTAGACACAATATCAGCTGGGTGATTTTAGGTCAGTCACTCTCTCTTAGCCCTAGAAAGGAAACAATGCCAAACCACTTCTGAAAAATCTCGCCAAGATTAATCCAGGCAATTGCAAGCAGTTAAACACTGACTCAAAGACAGACACACACAATTCTCAAAAGGGGACAGGGCAGATCAAAGGAGTCATGCCTTCAGGCTATGTGTGATTTACTTATGGAATTCATTGCAGATGGTCTTTTTAAAAGAGTAAGATAAATTTGGAGGATGACAAATGACAATGAGTGACATTTGGTTAGGATGAAAACAACAGAATCCAATGACTAAGTGGTAGGTGTAGGAGGTCAAACATTTTATTCTTGAGTCTTTACTGCTTCCAGGTTTCCTTGGGCTATCCAGACAGTCCCGGTTGGAAGAATGGTCCTGGGCCAATGGGCAGTGGCAGCAAGTCCTATGGAGGAAGCAGTAGTGGAGACAGGAAGCATCTCAGTCTTATCTGGGATGGGGCTCGCATCTGTTTTTGACTTAAGCATATGTCTTTGCTCAGTCTAGACAGGGGCTTAATTAGAAGACAGAGATGGTAGCAAAGAGAGGTGAAGGTATTACACTTTTCTCCCCATGTGAGAGATCATATTGACCTGAATCAAAATAAAAGGTTCTTCTTATCAGTGACATAAAGAACTGTGCCACAGTGTTTTGGTATCATCACCAAGAAAGAAGAGAGAAGTAGAACCAGAATCAGTTACTTATCTCTCCCTTTACCCAATGAACAGCAGCCAAAGCTGGCCCTATGCAAGTAAATGCTTGTTGATCTGCAGTCTACAGTCCTAAATCTAAGTCTACAGTCCTACAATCTATTCTAAGTCCTACAGTGCTCTAATTCATTGAGGTTGGCCAGTTAGAAATCAAACATTTGTTCAGATGATGAAATTAATTATGATCCATAACACATGGCATAACAAATGTTTTAATCATTAAGGTACCCACGAGTTTCTCATTATATTTTAGTTGGCAATCACATGCTTGCCTGGTGATGCCCAGTGTTCCCCTGCCCTTCATTGCCTTATGTTAGCTTTCTGATCAGAACAGAACTCTACAGCAATGGAAGCCACCTTCTTCTACAAACTCCTTAATTCTTATGTTCTTTGACAGCCTGAAACTGTCTATCAGCCATACGTGATACCTTGCAAATCTTTAAGATGCTTATCACATTTCATTTTTCTCGAGAATTCACACAAAATTAGGAAATGCATTTTATACAGAAGTTCCACAAGAAAAGGAAAATATCCTATCTCCTATGATCTTTATTTCTCTTAAAAATTCTCACACAAAGTTATAGAACACTCCTAAGCTCTTCATAATTTAAGGTTTTAATTGACTGCTTATTAATTGTGCCTTCTTTTCAAAGCAACATGTCTTGACTTTCATTTAAAAGTGTAAAGGTTTCAGAAATGTTAAAGATGTAATTGAAAGGCAGAAGCTTCTCTCAGTGTTTTGATTGATTCATCTGTTATTATCAATTCTGTAAGCTGCTGAGCTTCTAAATTATTTATTTATACCTGAAATTAATGTGTATTGATGTGACTTGCATAGGCCCAAACAGGCAAAATCCTGTCTCCAAGGGGCATATGATTTACTAAGATTACACAGTTACATTTGGGTATCTTTCATTGCAAATATTGCCAAGAAAAAAAAGCAACTCGCTCATTTGAATACTTGGATGAGATTGCTCTAGGGCTATAAACTAGATTGAAAAGTTGAAAAATCACCCCAGAAGGTAATGGGGAACCTTCCTGTATTATTGTTGTAAACTACAGTTTTGTAGTACAAAAAACTGAGTTTTGCTTGGCTTGAAGACATTATTTCAATCATAGCATACTTGTCTAAGTGTGAAGTGGCTACGAGAGCCTGATCACAATCAGGGAGGTCATCTCAAATTATATAGTTCACCTAACCAATTTGTGTGACAATAAAATGAAGGGAGGGATGTTACATATCTTGGGCTACTAGGATGGAAGGTGGGAAACAAATGCAATGAGATAAAATAGTCACGGGAAGCAGGAAAGTTATCAGAATACTGTATGTACAAAGAGCAGTAAGCCCACCATCTGCTGGTTCCTGCTTATATGATTACATAGGTCTTCTCAAAATCCACATGTACTTTGATCATTCTGGTAAGCAAATTTGATGACCAGGTGAGCAGAGAGATGACCTCAGATTCTAGTATCTCTATTCAAATGCAAGTCATTGACTCAAAATGCAATTATCAGCTGCAAACAATGAATACTGAAATCACAACATAAGAGTTTTGTTGTGATTTCACTTGACCCATGGTGATGACATGTACATGTACATGAAAGTGGTTTACCAGTGCTGTCTTCTGGATAATTGGTTTATTGTGGGTCTAAGAATAATTGGTACTGAAAAGGAAGTGTCATATCCTATAATCTCACAGAATTATCTGCTTTCCCTTGGAAAAGAGCAAGCAAAAAGGGAATAGTAGTTTGTCACAATGGCAATGGAGAGGGAAAAGGGTCAACATACAAATGTACTGGGATTGAAACATCTCAAATTTCC